CTTTTATGACCTCGAAGATATGGTGGTAGCAACTAGCAACTACTAAGTACTCATCCACCAGATAGAGCATGGATGTTTGTATGACCCTAAAGGGATTGGGGAATAAGAATACGATGTTGCTTTTGCCAAGATTGATATGAAGAATCCATTTGTTTTGGGAAGCACGGTTACGTCTAAAATTTTGTACTATGTTGTTTACAAACCATGTTTGTGAGAGATCAACCATATGTAGTTCCAATTTGAATTTTAGAGCGGCATTGTGTCATTTGAGATTTGATGCGTGACTTTGTGCCATTTTAGATTAATTTGGTAATTTTGAGAATTAACGGGAACTTTTGAGATTTGACGTATGACTTTGTACAATTTTGGATCAATGCTATCTTCCTCTTAAAACCCATTTTATCGCTTGTAGGTATAATGTCTTTGGCGTGTCAACTGGTGTCCAAATTTGATTGGCACTTCCAAAAGTCATATGGGACTTAAAGTTTCTAAAGGATATCTCACAAATTTGTAGTTAATAGACACAATCAAAAGCTTGTATGCATTAAGTCTATTAATAATGTACGACAACCTCAATTCTTAATTTGATTAAGACTCGACTTTCTTTCTAACTACATTTCATATACTTCTCCGAACTTATTTGAAAGACATTAAACTCGACAATTATAACGTTTTAGCAATGCATACGCCATAAGGATACAAGTAAATCAGTTAGACTTTATATCTTCTCCAAGATGTAAACGTTGTTATTCCATTGTAGTTAAATCCTTGCATGGTTTGGTCAAATAATAGACAAGAAAAACTGGTTAAAAATGTTGAGGATAGGACCTCTTTTGCTGGCTTCTGTCTAAAGTGGGAGATGGTGAGTGCCGAAGCACCAACCATCCCTCCTTATTTTACTCATCCCTCCGAGAATTTCTGATTCCATTTGCTGCATCAGCCTTCGTCACCATTTTAGAATCAACCCCCCATCCCCCACTGATTCTCTCAAATCTCTTTTTATATATTTTTTAGTTTAAATTATTATTATTATTTTTTGCTACTTAGATTGGGGGATGTCACTTTACTTTTCTGATCGTGTGGGCTAATATGTGCTTTGAGTTCTGTATGGTTCATAAATTAATCGAGGAATTTCTATTTATATTAAGATCATCTTCAATTCTTACATTAAAATTTAAAATTTAGGTTTAAACTAACTCAATTATTCTTCAATGGGTTGGGCCTAAAGTAAGTTTTAAAACTTAAAATTTGAGCACATTTAACCTAGAATCCGGCAAAGTTAAAATGTTGGCCCACCTTATATACGTGGACACGCCCATAAAAGTGGTGGTCGCAGCAAGGCAACGTGTCCAACACATGAGAAGCATGAGGGCTGACAGGAAGTTGGGCCTACCCCTGAAGAAAATGTCAGCCACCCAAAATGAGCCCAACGACTCTATTTCGATCCGACGATTTCAATTATTGGATCGTTGGTTGATCTAACTGTCCATATTCAAACCTATTTAATTGTTAAATACATTAAATCCAATGATTGAGATTGAATATGATCAAATCTAATAGTAAAAAAAAAAAGAGATTTAACAGCTCAAAATTAAATCTAACAGATGAAATAATTTAAAAAATATTTAAATCAAAATTTATCAAAACTCTATAAATACATGATTCATGGGGTCGGTTCAGTGAATCTTTCAACTTTTCTCGAAATCTACATAAATTTTATTCAAAACAAAAAGTTACCGGAAAAAAGAATTTAGCCTAAATTCATTCTTTAATAATTTCGGGCTAAAATCTTAAACTGAAACTATTGGAGTAAAAAAAAAATTGTTTTTGGGTTAAAACCTAAATTTTCTAGATTAAAAATTTTAGGTTTTAAGCCAAGGGTTGGAGAGGGTCTAAGGGGGTAAGGAAGATTTGGCCTAACCCTTAAATTGATTTCGAACTCGGTAGTCAAATTTAAGTTTTTTCACTTACAAATGAAATAGAATGTAATTAGACCGTTGTATTATGTGGCATTGATTTGAATACTATAGAAGGTGAAAGTAATGAGGGTCCATTCGAAGCTAAGAAAGGTAATGATAAAACATATTCAAAAAGAAGTAATTCCGGTTCTTTATATGGAGGTTGTTTTTTTTTTTTTTTTTTTTTTTGGAACAATCAATATTATCCACATTAAGGGGGATGGAGTGGGCTTAGCCTTATAATGGACTAGCAATAATGTGGTTCAAATTCATATTTGGCGACAATCGAACCTAAGATCTCTTACTTACCAATGAAGATGAATAACACTAAAATGTAAGACTACGTGGCTCTTTATATGGAGTTTGAAACAAAAGATGAAGCATAAATAGTGTCTACATCCCCTGGCATTTTTGAAACTTCAAAGAAATTAAAGAATTGACGCTAATATTGAAACTTTAAACACCTATTTCCAAATTGTATATTTGTTCTTTTCACCAGAAGTTTCATCCAGCTTCTCTTGTTAATCAACTACAAGATGGTCGGGGCTAGTTTTGAGAATGGAGTAGGATTCTCTTCCTTCTTTTTTTTCTTTTTCTTCCTTTCACTTCTATTTAAACAGTCACAATTAAGCCACATCAACATCTTATATTAATTTTTTTATAGAAAGAAAAAGATAAAATAGAGAATGTGAGAGGAAGAGATGGAAGGAGATGGAAAGAGGAGAATTGTGAGAGCAGATGTGTATATACAATAGGGAACATGATTTTTTTTTTAATTTTTCACTCTCTTATTTAATCATGTCCGTTACTATTGTTTGATTTACTCGATCAATTGACTAGAAATGAAGAAGATGTATTAGAAGGTAAATTGAGTGTGTGAAAATCATCTTCTATATAATATAAAAAGGGTAGTGCTATCAACATACCCCTTTTTACCTCTCACGCATCTTCTCAAATTTTGACCTCAGATCAAATATATTGAAAAATATTAAATAATATAAATTTATTTGAAAAGATCGTACAAATTGAAAAAATCAAATTTTATATCAAATAAATTCAAAAATATCAAGTCACCATTGCAAAGCATTACAAAATACTAAAAATTCCTCACATAATGTATATTTGACAAATTTCGGTCGTCACGAGGCGTGTCGTCTATTAAAAACAATATAAAAAGTTACAAGAAAAGTTATTTAATTTCCACAACTAGACAAGTTTTTCTTTGGTACTCCAACCTACCAGCCAATTAGATTCATGCACATGGAGACAAATGGAGAGAGATTCCTATGAGCAGATCTATTGGATTGAGCTCGAAGTGATTATCAGTGATATGACCGAAGTGAAACAATACGAACATGAGTCTACAGAGTATTTCATTGCCTGATTCACGAGGTTAAAGGTGAAGTGTAATTTCATATTGTCCAACCAGCAGAGTATAACTATTGCTCATAAGGAATTGAGTACCCGTCTCAACTGGTTAAGGAGAAGCAACATAGCAAACATTCATCCAAAATTCATTTCTGTGAGACCAATGTACTCATCCACCACCACCAGATAGTATGGATGTTTGCATGACCCCAACGGGATTGGGGAATAGGAATACGAAGTTGCTCTTGCCGAGATTGATTTTTAAAATCCATTTGTTTCAGATGCGCATTTTTATTTAAAATTTTGTACTATATTGCTTACATACTATCTTTGTGAGATATCAAACCACAAGCAGTAATAATTTGAATTTTAAAGTAACTTTGTGCCGTTTGAGATTTGCGGTGTGGTTTTATGTCATTTTTATTAATATGATAATTTTGGGAATTAAGTAATTAAAGGGAATTTGAGCCATTAATTGCCTGCACACTATCTTCTCCATAATGATCATTTTATTGCTGGTAGGCACAATGCCTTTAAAATGGGCCATTAAGGGGAATTGGCTTTGTGCCATGCTATCTTCCACTTAAAGACCATTTCATTGCTTGTAGGTACAATGCCTCTGGTGCACAACTAGTGTCCAGACTCGGTTGACACTTACAAAATTCGTCTCGGATTTAAAGTTTCTAAAAAATACCTCCAAAATTAACCTGCACTTAATAGACACAACTACAGGCTTGTAGCATTAAAGTTTATTGACAATGCACGACAACCTCAACTCTTAATTTGATTAGGACTCGATTTTTTTTTCTAACTACATCTCATACAGTTATCCGAGCATACTTGAAAGACATTCCATTTAACAATTATAACATTTCAACAATGCGTATGTCACAAGGATACAAGTAAATCGATTAAGCTTATATCTTTTTTAAGATACAACCATCACTGTCATTTAAGGTGATGAAAAAAATATTATTATGATGCAGAAGTTATATCATTGGAACTGGAATAAAATAAGGAAGGAGAGTGAGTCAGAGCCGTGCGAGAGCATCTGAAGTGGGAGATGGTTAGTGCCGGGGCACGATCCCTCCTTATTTTACTCATCCCTCTAATAATTTCTGATTTCATTTGCTTGCTTCAGCCTCCATCACCATTTCATAACCACCCCCACTGATTCTCTCAATCTCCTTTTCAAATTTTTAGTTAAATTTAAACGTTCCTCCTTGATTACGATTCTCCTCACAACTCAACCAATCTCTTTCCAAGCTCACTCAACTGACTCAGTCTCTCGTGAAGAAGTTGAGGTACACTGTAAAATTAAAGATTCTTTATTTTTTTAATGCGGAATTTACTCGCAACACGTCTTTTAGTTGTAACGAATTTTTCATACCTAACACATGAACAATATAAATAAAGTAAAATAAAAATTGAACTTCACACATAAGATAACCTGCTTTGATTGAGGTTTCATTGTAGATTCAATAGGGAGGAATAACACAACTCAACATCTCTGTTTGTACTTTGCTGAGCTATCAGCCATTGGTTGACTTTAAAGCGAGAAGTACAATGTCCATGATGGGCTGCATACGTCTGCGGTGGGGACCATTTGTGCAAGTTAGAATCTTTCTCACCAATGAGGTAGCCTGGACTGGAATTATAATATATTCCTAGAAGGAAAGATGGGAACTTTGGAATTGTGGTGGGGATGAGAAGGGGAGAAGGAACTCTCTGTGACTAGGAAACAACTACCTCTTCAACTCAGAGCTCTTTTCTGAGTTTGTTTGTTATATTGCAGTTGCAGATAGCTTTTTATGGGTTTATGCAGAAACTAGTGTCTGAATAAACCGAGAAAAAAATAAATAAAAAACTCCAAGAATCTTCACACAGTGAGTTCTTCTTATTCCTTTTTCTTTTCTGTTGCTTTTTCTGGGTCTCAGAAACTGGATTGCTCCTTGTATTGTGAAGTGAAATGCTTGAATTCTCAATTGGAATCTTGACTGTAAGTGAATGAAAGATTGTTCCTTTTTTTGTTTACAAGATTTGACCCTCCTCTTTCTTAAGAATTTGTGGAAAGTGGGTTTTATTTAATTTCTTCTGTTTTTGCCTTTTGATTTGAACCATTGATATTGGAAGATTTGATGGTTCTATGGTCATTGACTCGTATGGAATTTCTGTTAGTGGAAAGGAGAATCTAATCTTTGTACAATAACTAATATATATATTTACAGTTTAATTCTTGTTCCTTTGCTTTTGTTTAGTTACTACTTTACCTTGTTAATTCTACGAGAAGAGTTGTTTGCAATTTCTTTTGTTATTTGTTGTACTCGGAAGAATTTTTTTTAATGATTTTGGGGAATTCAAACAGACTCGGATTTGAAGGCCGGACGCTCAAGAATTGAATTCTTGCCAAGATTAATGAGCTTTGGAACCTACTGGTTGGGGGATAATCCGGAAAGTGAGGCTTCTGCAATGGATGATGGTGTTCTGTCACCAGCTACCATGTTGGGAGCTCAACCTGATTCCGCTACGGATTTAGATTTCATGGACGAACTCTTCTTGGAGGGATGCTGGTTGGAAACCACACATGGACCTGAGTTTCATAATCAGAGCCTTCCCAGTACCGCTGCCCCCTTGAACCCCTCGTTTTTTTGGCATACGTTGGAGACCAATGGCAATATGGCCATGAACACGTCTCACAGCAGTAATCAAGAGGAGATGCAAAGACCATTCCTTAAACAACTCGTAGAAGGTCCTGTGAATCCTCAGTCTCCTAGAGAGAATATGATAAAAGATGCTGTGGCGTACTCTGGTCAATCAGTGGATCCTACAATTGAAGGTCGTGAATTTAGCAGAAGGTGGTGGATTGGTCCCACTGGAAATGAAGGTTTTGCATCATCTGTGACGGAGAGATTAATGAGGGCTCTCGTGAACATTGGAGAGGTCATGAGAAACGAAGATGTTCTTGTACAAGTATGGGTGCCAGTGAATAGAGGGGGTAGACATGTTTTAACAATGAATGATCTTTTCTATCTTGATTCTAGCTGTTCCAGGCTTGCTAAATATCGAGACATCTCTGCTAAATACCAGTTCGCAACTGGGGAGGATTCAACAGAAATGGTTATGGGGTTGCCTGGCCGGGTTTTCTCAGGTAAGATTCCTGAGTGGACTCCTGATGTTCGATACTTTAGACATGATGAATATCCACGGGTTGGCCATGCTCAACAGCATAATGTAAGTGGAACTCTAGCCCTTCCCATCTTTGAACAAGGTAGTAGGACTTGCTTGGGCGTTATTGAGGTTGTTACGACCGACCAGAAGATTAAATATCAACCTGACATTGACAGCGTTTGCAAGGCACTTGAGGTTTGTGCTCTTTCCTTGTATCAAAATTTCATTCATTTGGCCTTCTTCCTTTCACGTCACTGCAATAGGCACTTGGAGTTTATTAGGTTTGCAAGTTTCTTGCTTTATATTCTTTTTTGTATATGCGGCATCTAACACTGTTTTCCAAACCGAGAGAATACTTAAAGAATTAAACTTAAACTACGGGAGTGAAAGCAAGGCTATCTCAACAGAGACTCCGTCCCACCCATGAATTGGAAACTCAGTTCTGTTGTTTATCCCTATGAGCTTCTGAATCAGTGCACATAAACACCAATTTGAGGATGGACATATGAGTAGAAACCTCTTTTTTTCGTTACTGTGTTTGTTTTCATTCAATTTACTTAGATAAACCTTCATAGGTCCATGCTCCTAGATAAATAGACTTTTGAATTTCATATCACAGGGGCTTATAATTAGTTGTAGGCTGTTCACATGAATCTTGTTTTCTGATGTCGACAAGCTTTAAAATTTGCAGGCTGTTGATCTTCGAAGTTCTAGAAATTTGAGTACTCAAAATGTAAAGGTAAATGCATAATTACCCTGAGGGAAGATTGATTTATCACATATTAGTATATTCTGATTTTTGTTCTAAGGTTATTTGGTGGATTATCTTAGCAGGGGTGTGGCAATCCCTTTCACGCTGCGTTACCCGAGATCCAAGAGGTCTTGAGATCTGCATGCGAGACGCACAAGTTGCCCTTGGCACAAACCTGGATGTCATGCGTCCAACAAGGTAAAGATGGGTGCCGGCATTCTGATGACAACTACGTCCACTGTGTTTCAACTGTGGAGCATGCTTGTCATGTGGCTGATCCTTGTATCCAGAGTTTTCATGAAGCGTGCTCTGAACATCACTTGCTAAGAGGCCAAGGCATCGTTGGGAGAGCTTTTATGACCAATCAGCCATGCTTCTCAGATGACATAACTTCCTTTGTCAAGACAGAGTATCCTCTATCTCACCATGCCAGGATGTTTGATTTGCATGCAGCTGTTGCAATACGTCTGCGGAGCATTGACACTGGTTCAACTGATTTTGTCCTGGAGTTCTTCTTGCCAGTGGAGTGCAGGGATCCTGAAGAACAGGAAAAGATGCTCACATCACTGTCCTTGGTTATGCAACAGACATGCCGGAGCTTACGGGTTGTCACAGACAAGGAAGTTGAGGAGGAAACTAATTTTCATGTCAGTGAGGTGATAGATCGGTCAGAGCCCGGACCAAGTAATATTGCTTGTTTCACAGAGGTCCAACAGAATGGTAAGGATGTCTCAATGTTCCCAAACCAAAAACCACGCAAGGTGCTGAGTGTGAAATTGTCGAAGTTAAGGCAGCATCAAGAAGATTCAAACCTAAAAGGTGGTGTTGAGTGTGGACAAGAGTTTTCTGCTCTAGGTGAGGGTAGCTTTTCAAGTGTTGGTGTGAGTAAGACAAGAGAGAAAAGACGTACCAAGGCAGAAAAAGATATCAACTTGCAAGTTCTTTGCAAATATTTTTCCGGTAGTCTAAAAGATGCTGCAAAGAGTATTGGAGGTAAGCATTTCTTGTGATAAACCTGCTTCCTGTTTGATGTTTTAGTTGTGAATATTCGTATGGCATTTTGGTGGCCTTTAGAGTAATGGGACTGCTGTGTATACTTGATGCAATTTATAATTGTTTTACTTGTACAATCTGTATGGTGTACGTATGCACCTTGCAATCTTCCGAAATTAAGTTTTTCGTGTTAGTATTTTCTGTTTCTCCGGCTAATACCAATTGGACTTTAAAAATATCTGCTAGCACGCTAATGCCTTGCAGCATTCTATGTTTATGTGGCTTATGTTGAACTTTCTACTATGAAGGTTTTGTGTTTCAAAATTTTAATGAATTTCTTTTCGAATTGATCATGTTTAGTCTGCTCCACAACCTTGAAAAGGATATGCAGACAACATGGGATTAAGCGTTGGCCATCTCGAAAAATCAAGAAGGTTGGTCACTCTTTACAGAAACTCCAACTTGTAATCGACTCAGTTGAAGGCGCATCTGGTGCTTTCCAGATCAACTCTTTCTATACGAACTTCCCAGAGCTAACATCTCCAAATTTATCGGGGACCAGCCCATTTTCAAGTTCAAAGCTGAGTGATCAACCAAAGCAGACAAACTTGTCACCCAAAGGTGGTGTTTTGAGCCCCCAAGCTACCGCATCAAAATCTCCGCCATCTTCATGTTGTCAGAGTTCCAGTTCAAGCCAATGCTGTTCCAGCAGGACACAGCAATGTCCCTTCTCATGTAACATTGCTGGTAATGATGATCCAGTTGTTGGAGATAAGTCAAGAGATAGTGTGCTAAAGAGGGTCAGACGTGAGGCAGGATTGCATGCTTTTGGCCAAGATCGAGCGGAGCTACTGCCAAGATCCCAAAGCCAGAAACTTCTCTGCGAGCAACGAAATCTGCAGTCTATTCCACATTCACTGAAAAATAATGGCCGGGTAGCTCAAGAAAGCAAGGTTCAAAGAGTAAAAGTTGCATATGGGGATGAGAAAACCCGCTTCCGCATGCAGAGTAATTGGAGACATGAAGATTTGGTGCAAGAAATCGCAAAGCGATTTAGCATACAAGACATGAGTACATATGATATAAAATACTTGGATGATGACTCGGAGTGGGTCTTGTTAACATGTGATGATGATTTAGAGGAGTGTGTTGATGTGTGCCGATCTTCAGAGAGCCGCACAATTAAGCTCTCTCTCCAGATATCTCGTCATCACTTGAGAGGTTGATAGGTAGACCGTCATGATAGTAAGATGTTTGTCTGAGTTTGCAAGCACTGAAGTAGCAGAAGTCTGCAGTCAATAAAGTGGGGATGCATCCGTTAGTTTTAGTAGGGATGTTGAAACCTTGCTTCATAGATCGCTGCTCCGAGCATATGAAATCTTCGCAATGTAAAGATGGAAGTTTTGCGTCGTGCAGAATTAAACGAAAGGATGGTGGAAAGGAACATCTGGGATCTCCATCTGAAACTGCAGCAGCTTGAATGTATTTTGTTAGTCTAGTAGCTAGCAGTTAGTGACTTAGTGTATTCCTAATTTTTTCTTTTCCTTTTGTTAATTACTAGTGGATAGTTGTCTGTGTATTTACATAATTTTTGCCAGTTAAAACAGTGCTGTTTATATATTTATTTTTAAGAAAAAACTAATGAAAAATGCTTGAAAACTTTGAGTTTTAACAATAAGGACAAAATAAAGGATAAAGTGAATTGTACCAGCATTGACTTTTTAGTGTAAAAATATGGTTTTTCGTTAAAGTGAATAGTACCGAGGGTTTTTCGTTGAAGTTCCTTTTTTAATATGTGAATTGGGAATAATTGTGCCAGATTTCTAAGCATTGAGTCAATTTCCAGAGGAAGAATTTCCTTTCAGATGAAGCTTTAATAAAACAATTAAATGGGTTTGTTTCCTATCAGATCAGATGTTGGTAAATCTTTTCAGGGTGTTGGGAGACTTTAGATGCTTAATTGGGTTTCTGCCTTATAATGCGAATGTTCCGTCAAGGGTATTAATTGGAAGAAAGGAAAGGGTTTAGGACTATTTCGTTTCTAGTTTTCATTTGTCTATTACAGATATCGAAGAAAATACATTGAAAATAGATAATTGAAGTAGGATCGAAAGTACGTTTATCACTGAAGTATAAAATGTCGACTACTATAAGCATCGGCTCCCGAAAAGATGGACTTTCGTAACGAAACCACTAGCTGGTCCCTTTAAAAGAAAAAGGAAGTAAAAAAAAAAACCTCCTATAAGCTTCAAGAAATTGTGTATAATGTCTTAGAAACTACACAAATTGTGAAAACTGAAAGTATTACCAAATGTGTTGTAGGACGAATAAGAAAGATTTTAAAAGAACACATAGATAAGTTGAAACTTGCTCAATCAGGAACAACAAAACAAGATCAATATCATTAATCGTGGATTCAATCGATATTACCAAGTCACGCTTGATTTGAGAAAGAAATCATTTACTTCAATTGCACACGCAAATATAATCTTTAATTTATCAATTCTCCCTAAGACCTCTAGTACATCATTTTTCAAAGAAACTAAAAACAAAGGATGAACTTCGTAAGAAACTCTCGCCATACTCTAAATATGACTTAACAAATTCCTACGTTATTATTCCAATGCAATTAGTGGTCTTCGATTTTATTTTTTTCAATAAAAAAAGTGTTCTTTTCAAAAAAAAAAAGAAAAAAAAGAAAAAAAACAGTTCTTTTCAAGGTTTGACTCCCGCATCAAAACGAGTATTCAATTAAAAATAAAAAATTAAAAACTGAAAACAAAATAGTTATCAAACGGCCTTTTAATAAATCAATAATTGGATGCATCCTAAACGGAATAGTTTTCTGAGTTCTTCCTTTGTTCTAAGGTTAACATATCTTTATACATTGATGTGATGTATGATATTTACGCCAAGGGAAGTTGATGCTAGCCAAACAAACAAATCTCAAAATCTACCATATTCTTGCTCTTTTTTGTTTTCTGTTCCTTTGTCAGCAGCGGCAGTTTTATAATTTACACATTTAACTATTTCGATATTTCTGTTCGTACATAATAATTCAGCTGTAAAACAACACGAAAAAGAACTGGAGAGGTAGTAATCCGCTATCTTCATAGTTGTGGGGAAACAGATGTCTGATCTTGTCTCTGCTCAACGGGCACGCGTCTTGAAGGCGGACCAAACATGCTCAAGAAGACCTGTAAACAAAACGTCGTTATGTACTAGTTGATCAAAATTCAAAACCAGACTAATGCAAGACATGGTTTCTATCTCTGTTCAACATATTTTCTTTTCAGATGCTGGTTATTGTTCAAGAATTTTATAATTTCCGTCGAGGATGGCAAGGACGTGATAAGGGAACTGTACTAACTTACCGGCAAGAACACAAGCCCGTGTAAGAAACCAAGAAGAACCAATGCTAGGTACATTTGGAAGTAATACACCTACAAAACATAAGAGGAAAAGATGTGTTCAAAGGGGGATCCGACAGTAATGGCCAGTATGATTAGACGGTGAGTGAAAGATTTAGTACCACAAAGATTTCCGTCCTCGAGAAACAAAGTACAATAACCCCAACTAACTTTGTTAATGTGATTCCACTGCAAAAGAATGTCAAGAGAGAATGGAAATGTAAGCTTAGATCGGATAAAATTTATCACACAAAATCCTATTGGCACTGCACTTGAGACTAGCTATTTGGCAAAGAATGATCAATCGCAGAAGATGCTCGGAGATGGAACAAAACAAAGTAGGAGTTTCTCCCTTTCTTACGAAGGAGGGTTGGAATTGGGCCAAGTACCTGAATACAGAGGCACCCATTGTAGCCAGAGCCTCCTTGGTGCGCTGGTCTTTATCTCCTGTGCTAACCTGCACAACAAATGTTAATTATACACTTCAGAAGAAAAAGGTAGCGTGTTGTCGCCAATGATAACTTTGATTCTGTTCTGTGAAGCCAAAATCAAAATACCCCAAGATTTGAAGGGACTTTAGGCATCACAAAAACTAACAATAGCGAGAAAGAGAAGGCAAAAGTAAATAACTAAAGATAATGTTTAAGAGTTTGACACTGACCGAGAAAGCATGTGTCATATGCACACAAAACTCAACCGAAATGCCCACTGCCATTACAAGATTCACGACAGAGACTGCATTCAATTGGATGTTCAGAATTGCCATCACACCCTGTAGTATGTTATCTAGTGAGCAAATGTGACCACTAATAGGAGGTATTATTTGTTTCAAAAGAGAAATTTTAACGAAGAAAGATCACCATGAGATCCACTAAAATCATTGCCAACACCAACAGAATAATAGCTGAACTCCATAAACTACAAAACAAATTTGAAGGAAGCATCAATGTATCATTATAAACACCTCTTTGCAAATTTATTTGCTAAGGAAGCTGAACACAACGAGTAACCTTGCACACAATTACAAGAATTAAACGAGGCTAAGAATATGAATACTGACCTGCATGTGATAGCTAAACAAACAATAAACACAGCAGCTGGTACACCAACAATATATCCAGATTAATCCTTTTACTAAATGAAACCACAAATCTACCATATGCATATCTATAGTAGATAGATACAAGCTGAAATTAAAATCCGAGTTCCAGAGAGGTGAAATTTGAATTTTATCAATTTTTTCCCCACTAAGATATAGTATTCAAAGCTATAAAAAAAACTAACCAATGGCTATAGAAAGGTTGATCAGTGCCGTTCTCCAAATATCAAGGTATTGCTCAAAGAACATATAGTAAACTGAATATGGGAATATCTCAATCTGCACCAGAAAATAAATATCAGTTCCACAGGTATACCACGAGCAACGCATTAGTGAATCAAGCTAACTTATTATAGTTTAACTGTCCCAGTGTGAATAAATAATGAAATTTTGAAGCAGTGGCTTATGGAAAGGGGCGGCACAAGACTGTTGTACTCAATCTAAATGTAGAATTTGGGGTCTCTTGTCAAATGAATCAAATGAACCAATGGACATTAACCCTTTTCCCATTTGCATGGGTTGTGATGTCGGCATAATAGACACCGAGTCGTTTGCAGATGTGGGCACAACCACATTGGCTAGAACAGATGTGCCACCCCCTATGCACTCAAGTTCGAATCTCCCTCCCCACAATTTAGATTAGTTTAAACTTTAAACTAGAATACTGCTTAAAAAAACTAGAATATTTGCTTGTATCAAAAACAAAAACAAAGTAAAGTATAGGAGTCATCCTTTTGCATAGTTTTCATATAGGGTTGCTTCACCACAATTCCGTTTTGAGCTATGTTTTCTACTTATTTACAATACAGATTTTGGTGTAGCTTTATAATATTAAAGTTGTACTGTAAATAAATCAATCGACTTAGCAAGTAGCCTTCAAATTTTTACCTTCAAAGAATCAGAAAGTCTAGAACTGAGCTCCCGAGCAGCTCTCATTGAATTTACGTAGTCAACCTAACATAAATTTGTAGATATTCAAGTTATGGGGCTTACTTTAGTGTTGAAACCTAGAAAAGACGGGAAGTGGTAATCTTTTTTGATTGATCACAGGATGAGATACCTGCTTGTTGAGAGGAGTATGATATGTACGAAATGATGATGCTTGAATAGTGCCACTTTCATTGCCTGATAACAAAAATATGATTAACATGTTAAAATGTAAATTCAAATAAAAAGCTAAATCTAATGGAAGTTTAACCTGAAAGCAGATAAGCCGTTTGGAAAGAGAAGTCATCATAAAGGCACAATATTCCATCAACAAACCTTTGAATTCCACACTGCTAGTGTAAGCTCCATGGCCACCTTTAGCACAATCATTAGAGGGTAGAGCATTGAGGAACCATGGAAGTTTTTCTTTAAATTGTGTGGTAGAGGGACGGTCATTGTGAAGATCTGAATGACGAAAGCACTGACAACAACAAAATTGAAAATGAGAATGGATGTGTTCCCTTATAAACAAAGAAATTCAGTTAAAATATTTCTGTCATGCCATGTGTATATTACCGTAGTACAGTCTTTGCACACTCCACCAAGGCTACAGGAACTATCACTGGGAGAGCAGCAAGGTGGCTGGAAAAGTGGAAAGGGAAAAACTTAAATTTAGTACCAAGGGGATTGCAAGCAAAACAAAAACAAGATGATTTGTGCTCTTAACAGATTTATAAGCGGACAAGAAAAGCATCATTATCATAAATTCTCTTTTGCATGTAAAAGAAATTCCAAAACTGAAGACAATTCAACAATTTTGAATGTAAAACAAATTCCAAACATCAGACCACGCTTCCATAAGCATACTAACAATCATACTAAGAAAAATGCACTGTCACCTGATCATCAGGAGGGCAGTAAGTCCCATCTGTAAACTTCCGACAGCACCCAAATGCTTCTGGAGATATCCACACAAGAAAATCATCAAGCCATGAAGCAGCAGGCTTAGCAATGTAACTTGATTCTGGATTTAAGGATGCTCTTGCAATCTGTGGAAACAAAAGGACAATCAACACAAAGAAAAGGACAATTCAAATTTAGACATAGAAAAACAAACAAATGATTCAAATACAAACAGACAAATCAAACACATAAATTCTGAAATTAAGGATGGTCTAGCATTT